GGTGCGGCCGCGGCCGCCTTGCCCGCGGAGGCGGGAGGCGTTTGGCCGAGTCCCGCGGGCTCCAGCGCGGCCTTCTCGCCGGCCTGCTCCAGAGGGATCCTTCGTTCTCCTTCCTGCATAACCACCCACTTCGGGGCCCTCTTTTCCCCTCAGGGCCTCTGGAAGACCTAGACTTAGTCAGAGTGTCGGAAAGGGCTGTGCCTTGCGTGGGTAGGAAGTTTGCCTTCCCTGAATCCTGGCTGCCTCTCAGGCCTGCCCTTCTCTGCTGGGGATCAGAATCCGGCGCTGCCCGACGGTGGTCACTTCTGCCCGGTCAGTCTCGCTGTGCACATGGCCTGGGGCGTCCGTCACAAGCCACTTTCTGACCCAAAAGCTCCACTTGGAAGCCCACTCCTCATTCTGACCTACCAGGGGGACATACAGGGAGAGGCCCGAGTGTACGTAGGGGGATTCCTGTATCCGCTGCTCTTTTCCCAGTGATTCTTGTCAGGCCTCCAGTCCCACCGTGTTTCCCCTTGCTGCCTGTGACCCAGCCCCACTGGCTCATTCAGCCCATTCCATCCTGCCTCAGCCCCTTTGCACAGGGCTGTGCCTGCTGCCTGGAGTGCCTTCCCCACCTCCATCTCCTTGGCCTAGTTAGCTCCTGTGGGAAGACCCATCAGACTAAGTCAGGGTTTCCTAGTTTAAATACTTTCAGAGTTCCTTGTACTTTAGTGCCATCACGGTTGTAATTTTGCATTTCTTTGTGTGGTTACTTAACTTTTTCCTCCACTAGACTGTGCTTCGTGAAGGCAGAGCCCTTGTGCTTCCTTCACTGCTGTATCCCGTTGCTTGGTTGAGCACCTGGCACGCGTGGCAACCACCCCTTAAGTGTTCCTGGAGTGATTCACAACCGCCACACACTCTGTAAGATGAATGAAGCCTCAGGGGGCAGATGCTCAAGTGTTGTAGCTGCTTTGGTTTCACCCTGTGTCCCCGCCAGAGAATATCTGGGGGTGGAGGTAAAGGATGGGAGAACACAGTTGCCCCCTGGATTAGCCTGGAAGTCGAGGGGGGGGGGGT